CTCCCTCTGATCCTCTTCCCTCTCGTGCTCTCTGTCTCTCATTCTCTCTCTCTCAAATAAATAAATAAATAAATAATCTTTAAAAAAAAAAAAAAGCAAGGCTCCTTGTAGCAAAACCAGTGGGTTCTGACCTAAACACATCCATCAGGCCAACTTCAAGCATACTGAGCCCATACTAAGAAGCTCTCTGTGGCGAATGAAGCAAAACCATGAAGGTAGAAAAACAGGACTGAATACAGCAAGACTTGGAAATGGACCTACGCTTCTTTTTCTTTGAAGTGTGTGTGTGTGTGTGTGCGATAAAATATACGTAACATAAAATCTGCCATTTTAACCATTTTTAAGTGTACAGTTTAGTAGCATTAAGTCTATTCACAATGTTGTGAAACTATTCCCACTCTCCATTTCCAGCACCTTTTCATGATCCCAGACACTCTGTATCCATTCGACAATAACTCTTCATTTGCCTTCTCTCAGTCCTCGCTACTTTTTATTTTGCTTTTTGTCCCTATAAATTCACCTATTCTAGTATCTCAAATAAGTGGTATCGCATGATATTTGTCCTTCCGTGTCTGGCTTATTTCACTTTGCATAATGTTTTCACGCTTCACCCATGTTGTAAGATGTATCAGAATTTCATTCCATTCAAAGGCTCAACAGTATTTCTTTTTTTTTTTTAAGATTTTATTTATTTATTTGACAGAGAGAGAGAGACAGGGAGAGAGGGAACACAAGCAGGGGGAGTGGGAGAGGGAGAAGCAGGCTTCCCGCTGAGCAGGGAGCCCGATGTGGGGCTTGATCCCAGGACCCTGGGATCATGACCTGAGCCGAAGGCAGACCCTTAACCGACTGAGCCACCCAGGCGCCCCAAAGGCTCAACAGTATTTCACTGTGTATATATACACCAAACTTGTTTATCTATTCTTCTGTTGATGTACATTTGGGTCGTTCCCACCTTCTGTCTATTGTGAGTAATACTGCTGTGAACATGGGTACGAGTATCTATTTGAGTCCCTGCTTTCAATTCTTTTGAATATATACCTAGGACAAGAACTGCTGGATCATATGCTAATTCTGTTTAAATATTTAAGGAACCACGAAACTTTCTGGAGTGGCTATACCATTTTACATTCATGTCAGCAGTGCACAAAAGGATAGCCCTACATTTCTTGAAGTTCCTTGCATTTCTTTTTTTTTTTTTTAAGATTTTATTTATTTATTTGACAGAGAGAGAGAGACAGGGAGAGAGGGAACACAAGCAGGGGGAGCGGGAGAGGGAGAAGCAGGCTCCCCGCAGAGCAGGGAGCCCGATGTGGGACTTGATCCCAGGACCCTGGGATCATGACCTGAGCCGAAGGCAGTTGCTTAACCAACTGAGCCACCCAGGCGCCCATTCCTTGCATTTCAATTGCAAATTATGCCTCTCCCCCTTGAATACCTGAATATAACTTTTATTTATTTATTATTTTTTAAGATTTTATTTATTTATTTGACAGACAGAGAGATGGCGAGAGCAGGAACACAAGCAGGGGGAGTGAGGGAGGGAGAAGCAGGTTCTGCCAAGCAGGGAGCCCGATGCGGGGCTCAATCCCAGGACCCTGCGATCGTGACCTGAGCGAAGGCAGACCCTTAACGACTGAGCCACCCAGATACCCTTGAATATAACTTTTAAAAAGCATCAACATTTCCCCAGCTTGATTGCTCAATATTTAGTAAAGTGGTCCATGATATATAATATATATAATTATAAAATTAAAAACGATCTATTACCTGTGCAATCCATGTGTGTCTCAATAAAACAAGCTAAAATCAGGCTCAAAGTGTTAGGTGTACTGAATATCCATATCAGTGAGAAGTCCACTTTTTAAAGCCCCATCGACAAGCATTTTCACTGCATGGAATACTCATGAAGCCATACAACACTGCACTTGGCAAACTAAGCAAACACTAGAGGTCTGTGTGTAGTGTTCTGTAAAATGAATTAATAAATGAAGACACAGCTCATCTCAGCTAAATATGAGGGTTAATTAAAGTGACCAGAGCTAACATTAACTCAAAATATCCAACTGATACTACGCTATGAAGATCTGCACCTGTTTGAACACAGAATAGACTGGTAACCTATATTGGTACTGACCATCTGCTCTAAATCCTATACTTCAGTGATTTGACGGTCTCTCAGCTCAGGGCTTACTTAGGTGATGGCGAGCTTTGATGGAGAAAATAATCAGACATTACTAGCAGAGAAATTGGAGGGCAGGAGAGCCATTCCCATTCTCTTATTATTTAGGGCAAAGTGCATACAACTAGATTCTGTTGGAAAAATGGCAGGTCAGAAACTAAGAAACCCTGTGTTGTAGTCCTACTTATTCAGAATCTACTTTTGTCTCTTAAATCCATTTGTTTTTCTCACAAGGAATCATGATTAAGTTGCATGAGATGTATTTAATTTTGTGATAACTCTAGAGTATTAGGTTCTTTCAAATATTACAAAATGAGATCTCTTTTCTCCTAAAAATCACAATTAAAGAACTAAAAAAGAAAATTGAGTCTAACTACATTATTTCATTGGTAAACTAAGGCTTAAAGTGATAAAATTACTTAATTCACATTGTACAACAGGTAAGAACTTAACTTGAGCTGAGGTATAACCAACTGTCTACACTGCTTTCTCTATAACTCCTCCTAATAACCTTTAAGATTGAAACATCTTCAAAACCACACACTAAGGGTTTTTTTGTTTTGTTTTTGTTTTGTTTTGGTTTTTTTTGAGAGAGAGAGAGCACAAGCAGGCAGAGGGAGAGGAGACTCTTATGCTGAGCAGGGAGCCCGACTCGGGGCTCGGATCCCAGGACCCCAGGATCAGGGC